AGTAGTAGTAGTAGTAGTGGTTTTGCTAGCCGGCGTAGTAGACGTTGTCACAGTAGCCGTAGTAGTGGTAGTGGTAGTAGCACTCGTAGTCGTAGTCGTAATCGCAGTCGCAGTCGTAATGGTGGTAGCGCCATCGGTCGTGGTTTTAGGAGTAGTAGTAGCAGTAGTAGTAGTAGTAGTAGTAGTAGTAGTAAGTAGGCAGGCAGGTAGTCGGTAGCAGGTAGTTTCTAATAGTGATAGTAGTAGCAGTAGAAGCAGTAGTAGTAGTAGTAGTAGCAGTAGCAGCAATAGAACTAGTAGTAGTAGTGTAGTAGTAGTAACAGTAGTGGTAATATCAGTGAAACTAGTAGTAGTAGTAGTAGTAGTAGTAGTAGTAGTAGTAGTAGTAGTAGTAGTATTAGTACCACCGCTACTAATTGTCGGTCGTGGTAGTAGTGCTAGTAGTAGTAGTAGTAGTAGTGGTAGTAGTAGTAGTAGTAGTAGAAGTAGTAGTGGTAGTAGTAGTAGTAGTAGTAGAAGTAGTAGTTGTAGTAGTAGTGGTAGTAGTAGCAAAAAGTCGTAGTAGTAGTAGTAGTAGCAGTAGTAGCGGTAGCAGTGGTAGTAGTCGCAGGAGTAGTAGTAGTAGTAGTAGTAGTAGTAGTAGTAGTAGTAGTATTCGTTGTAGTAGTAGTAGTAGTAGTAGTAGTAGGAGTAGTAGCACTAGTAGTAGTACTAGTAGTAGTTGTTGTTGTAGTAATAGTAGTAGGTAGGTAGGCAGATAGGTAGGCAGGTCGGTAGGTAGGTAGGTAGGTAGGTAGGTTAGTAGTAGTAGTAGTAGTAGTAGTAGTAGTAGTAGTAGTAGTAGTAGTAGTAGTAAGTAGTGGTAATCGGTACTGGTACTGGTATGGTAGTAGTATAACTACTACTACTACTACTGCTGCTACTACTACTGCCACTGCGATTACTATTACCACTACTAATACTACTCCTACCACTACTACTACTATTACTACGATTACTACTACTACTACTACTACTACTACTACTACTACTACTACTACTACTACTACTACTACTACTACTACTACTACTACTACTACTACTACTTGTTAGTCCACTACGACTAGTATTGCTACTACATCTACTACTCCTACGACTGCAACTACTACTACTACTCTCTACTACTACTACTACTACTCTACTACTACTACTACTACTACTACTACTACTACTACTACCGCTGTGACGACGACTACTACTACTACTACTACTACTACTACTACTACTACTACTATTGCTACTACTACTACGACGACTACTACTACTACTACTACTACTACTACTACTACGACTACTACTACTACTACTACTACTACTACTACTACTACTACTACTACTACTGCGAGGCCGCCGGCGCCGACGCAGTCGCAGACGACGCCGAAACCGAAGCCGACGACGCAGACGCGGACGATGCCGACGCGACCTCCGAGAGGGCCCCCGAAATGGCTTCCGAAACGGCTTCCGAAACGGCTTCCGAAACGGCCTGCGAGACGGCCTCCGACACGGCAATCCAAGGCGGCCTCCGAGACGGCCTCGCTTCTGAGACGGCCTCCGAAACGGGCCCCGAAACAGTTTTCGAGACGGCTTCTGGGGGTGGTGGAGGAGGAGGACGAGGAGGAGGAGGAGGAGGAGGAGGAGGACGAGGAGGAGGAGGAGGAGGAGGAGGGGGACGGCCAAAATCAGTGAATTCGCGAGTTTACTGATTTTGGCCGCCCAATCACTGAACTCGCGAATTCACTGATTTCGGCCGCCCCGTCGGAAGAGGAAAAAAACTGCCAAAATCAGTGAACTCGCGAGTTCACTGATCTCACCTCTCAGTTTCACTCGATCTCCTCCTCCTCCTCCTCAGCCTCCTCCTCCTCCCTCTCCTCCTCCTCCTCTTCCTCCTCTTTTGTTTGAGCCATCGAAGAATTAGCGCCCCAGGGGCTCCACCAGGAAGCTGGATGCACATGATGTGCCGGGCCCGGTCGAGCGCCAGACACGCGCGCGGCCAGGTGCACTCCCAGCGCGCGGCCCCGCCACATGGGTGACTGCGCGCGGGGCCGCCGCACGCGCGTGTGTGGAGCGCGTGGCCTCCGGAGGCTCCGCCAGCGCATCCAGCAATGTCTGTGGCCAGCTTCATGGTGAATAGAGCCGCTTAGGGGGAAAAAACGCTTGGACCTTCAGATACTTGCTTAAGTTTGGGGAAGAAGATGGTCAAAGGAGCAGCTCGGCACGAACGGCCTGGCCCTGGGGATACTCCCCTGGGGGTCCCAGCACCCGTACCTCTCGAGGCTCCCCCCCTCCCCCCCCCGGGGGCACGCTGGGCGCCGCAAGGTGCCCCCTCTTCTCCCAGTGAGCGGCCTGGCCCTGGGGAAAGCCCCCCGAGGGGTCCCAGGACCCGTGCCCCGCGGGGCCCCCGCCCCTTCGGGGCACGCAGGGCGCGGCAAGAACAACCCCCCCAGGGGGACCCAGGGCCCGTGCCCCTCGGGGGCCCCGCACCCCTTCGGGGCACGCAGGGCGCGGCGAGGTGCCCCCTTATCTCCTGGTGAACGGCGCGGCGCCGCGAGGTGCCCCTTCCTCTCCCGGTGAGCGGCCCGGCCCCTGGCCCGTGCCCCTCGGGGCCCCCGCGTCCCTTCGGGGCACGCAGGGCGCGGCGAGGAACAAACCCTTCCCCCGGGGGGTCCCAGGGCCCGTGCACCTCGGAGCTCCCGCCCCGCCCCTTCGGGGCACGCAGGGCGCGGCGAGGTGCCCCATCATATCCCGGGAAGGGGCGGCGAGGTGCCCCATCATATCCCGGGAAGGGGCCTGGCCCCCATGGAGGAAGAAAGCCCTCTGGGGGTCCCGGGCCCCTCGGGGGGCCCACCCCTCCGCGGCACACAGGGCGCGGAGAGGAACAACCTCCCCCCCCCCCCTGGGGCTTGGACGCCCGAAATGGGTACGGAAAAAATGGGCACAATGCCCAACAGCAGTTCCTGTTCATTTTGAACAGGACTCGCTGTCGGTGTCGCCGCGGCCTGTGTCCATTTGAGACCGGGGGCCGCCTGCCCAACAGCGGCCGCTGTTGGTTTGGGACAACATTTGTTGTTGGGCATTGTACCCATTTTTTCCGTACCCATGTCGGGCGTCCAAAATTGCACCACCCCCTTGCAGTTGGGCCCCCTTTGGGGTCGCCCAGTGTTGAGAACCCTCTTCCTCGGCTCCAGGATCAAGACTGCCTTGGCATCGCTCGGACGTGTGCATTTTTTCTCGGCGAGAACCATCGGGGACCATCCTGGACCATCGAGCAAAAAAACACGCCCTAATGAGGGTCCCAGGGGTCCTGTGCCCCTCGGCGCGGCGAGGCGCCCATCCTCTCCCAGCGGGCGGCGCGGCAGGGGAGGGTCGCCATGACGGGGGAAACGGGTCCTGATTGTTGCTCCCCGGTATCGGGCTCTCGGGGCCCTCCACGGGCCCCGGGACCGTCAGAAAACGGCTCAGGAGGAAGAACTCGTCCTAAAAAAAAAAAAAAAAAATGAGGGAAGGCCCCAGGGTCCAGGACCGGTTTCCGCAGGACCCGCTTCCCCCATCCTAGAAGGGCGAGGCGCGCGGGGGGGCAGCGACAGGGGGGGGAGGCACAAGGGGGGACACATCGACCCCCAATCGCCCATTGATCCCCGATAGGGGCCCGATAGCCCTACCCTACCCAGGAACGTGCGGATGTGCTATCGGGGGCCCATCGCCGATCTATCGGCGGTGCATCGCCGATTCCAGGTCGACGTTTCCCCCCCCCTTTGCCAGTCCCCCCTACCGTTGCCCCTCAGGGGTCGGGCGGGGGGCATATCATCGGTGCGATCGGAACTGCCCAGGCGCAGCAAAGGACCACGACCACAACTGAGTGGATTTGTCTCGAGGGGCGACCTCGACTTGAAGCCTTTGGTTGTGGTTGTGGGTGGGGGGGGGCACTCCATCGGCACGATCGAATAGGTCAGCCGCGCGCAGAGGGGGGAAGGGAGAGGGCCTCGCAGAAGCACCCCCAGATTCTTGGAAGACGCGCGGGCCTCATCTGTATATATATATATATATATGTAACGCCGGCGCCTTCGTAGAAGCAGCCTCGTTCTAAGAAGCCTTCCCCCCTCCCTCCACCCCTTTGCGCGCGCCGCCGGTGGGGGCGGGAAGAACTGGAAAAAAGGTCGAAGAACACAAAACCGCCTAAACACAATCTGTCGGAAGGCCGCACTAAGTTCTTAGACCGGCGTTGGGCACCCCTGGCGGCGCCTCCGGCGCCGCCCCTGGCGCGCCCCGCGCGCCAGGGAGGGTGGCCCAGCGCCGATCCTAGGAATCCGCTCGGGCCTCTGAGAAACCACAGTCGGGCCGCTGAAGCAGGAACCAGCGCGGACCCGAGAAACCCGCGCGGAGCGCCAACGGTTTATGTGTGGGCAGCTTTTGTTCTTTTGGGGTGGACCTTTTGTGGTCAAGTCGGGCGTGTCCCCCCGCAGGGGGATTTTCGACGAAAAATTGAAAATTTCCCAAAATGGTTCAAAAATATTCAAAAAATACTCCCCAGACTATTTTTGGACGATTGTTTGACCACTTTTGGGGTATTTCCTATTTTTCGTCGAAGTTCCCCCTGCAGGGGGACAGGCCCGATTTAATTCTATGGCAGGGTCCCCCATCGTCCGTGCATCGCCCTGGAGAACCCCCCCCCCCGCGCCTTCTGAGAGCGGCGTTTCCCCCCGGGGCGTCCGAGGGCATCCCAGCAGAAGGGCCGCCGCCCCACTCCCCCGCTTCTCCCGCCCGGGGCGTCGTCGGACCCGGGGGGGACGAGGATTGAGGATCCCCTGGAGGACATCGGGGGCGGAAAAGAGGGGGGTGATGACTAGGGGGGGGGGATATCATGGCGTGGGCCATGATATTTCCCCAGATTCCATGGCGCCTCTTCTCATTTCATGACGTCCCTGGCCCCCCCGCGGGGCCGCGCACATGCCGCCGGTCATGATTTGCACCCCCCCCTCTTGGACACCCCCCTCTTGGCCGCTCCCGAGGGCAGCAAGTGGAGCGCTTCAAAACGGGCTTCGCCTGCGAGGATCGAAGAACCTGTCATCTCTTCCGCGACCTACCAAGAGATGACAACGTTGTTGGGTTCAGCGTTACCGAAATCGCCCAAGGGAAGACGAAGGCTCATCGTAATTGTCGGGCCCTACGGGAGCCATTTCATTGGCTCGGCAGCAAGCCTGAAAAGTGGACGACGCCTCTTGTTTCGGGAAGGGGCCGGAGCCTCGGGGGGGACTGTGCACTGCGCATTCAAACAACAAATGTATAGCCGCGCCGTTTGTACCAACGCGCAGCTCTGGCATTTTGGGGAGGGCGCCGTGACCACCTAGGGCAAACTCCGCCTCGGACGAGGCGGGCTTGTCGTGTAGTTTGCCGCGGTGCCGGCTTCGTCTGCTTGGAGTCGGGGCGCAGGGTTTGCCGAGGGTGCGTCGTGGTGCCAGCGTCGTCCACGTGGGCGCGTCGAGAGCAAACGGCGCGGCGACAAACCAGGATTGTTTTAACCTCGAGTCGGATGGCATCAAATGCGCCTGGGGTGAGTTACAGGGGGGACACTTCGCTGCGCGGGTTCCCCGCCCCCCCCGCGGAACGAAACCGCGCTGCTGGAGCTGGCGCGGTTCGTCGCGCGCCCTGTGGTGAGCGCCAACATGCAGCTGGGCTTCCTCGTGCGGAAGAGGTTCCTGGCAATATTTCTTCCCTTTTCGTCCTCCACCACCTTTTTCTCCGAATGTTTTTCCTCTCCTCCTCCTCCTCCTCCTCCTCCTCCTCCTCCTCCTCCTCCTCCTCCTCCTCCTCCTCCTCCTCCTCCTCCCCCAGATCATATGTATGCATGGGTTCCTCCCCCCGACCTCCATAATTTCTCCTTTGTCGCCTCCTCAACCTTTCCATTCCTTCAGCGCGTCCCTCTTCATCCCCGCAGTTTCCTCTTTTCTTTTCCTAGATCATCTCTCTCTACCGCTCTCTCTCTCTCTCTCTCTCTTATCCTCTCTCTTGCTGTTGTTTTTCTCTCTCTCTCTCTCCCTGTGTTTGCCGACCCCTCTCCAAATATCAGATTTCCCGATGTGTTCGTGCTTATGCTTCTCTTTCTCTTCTTTATACATATACACATAAATGTATAGGTGTGTTTCTCTTTCTCTCTCTCTGTCATTCTCTCCATTTCTCTCTTTCTCTCTGTCTCTCTCTCTCTTTCTGTCTCTTTTTTTTTTCTCTCTCTCTCTCTCTCTCTCTCTTTGTACGATGCTCCCCCGTGTGCCAAACGTGCAGGTGGCGGAGGCCGCGGACCTCAGTGTGGAGGATGCGCGGCAGCCGCTGAAGGAGCTCGTGGATCGGGCCGTTGCTGAAGAACGCTTTCAAAAACGCCGTAGGGCGTGCCACGGCTGTCTTGAGCGGACCATGCTGGACGACGCCACGGCGTGCCTCCGATTGGCGGACGACCGCGGCACGGCTGAAACCCCGCCGCCGGCAGGCGCCCGAGCGATGGCGGGGGCCCGTTTCGCGCGGAGGCGCCGCGCGGCCACGGAGGAGAGTTGCGCGAAGTGGAAGTGCAGGAGTGGGTCCCGTGGGAGCCTTGCCAGATCGCGCTGCTCGAAGAGATAGGGGCGCCCGCCTTCGAGACGGCGCAGGCCTGCATGGACCCAGAGCGGGCGATGGATGGCATCACGGGCCGCACACGCATCAAAACGGCGACGTCGCATGTGCGAGCCATGGAAACGATGCGCAGGTGGATCTTGCGGGCGCACGGGACCCCGTGGCCCGTGACGGTAGTGCATTTCATTGACCACATGCACACCAAGGCGGCCGAGCCTTGCAGGACGAATGGTACCCAACCAGTCCCTGTTGGCATTGGTCCGGGCGGGGCGGGCCGCGGGTGTCGATACGAGCGACCAGGTTTCCGCTCGGCCAGAGGCTCAGCAACTCGTCGCGAACGTGGAGATGCTCTTCGGCGTGGGCCAGGGCCCGACGACGAGGGCAGCACGTTACCCCAACGCGCGCATCGAGGCCTTGGAACGGCTGGTCATGCACGACGGTCTCGCGCCGTACCTGCACAGGGTGGCGCGGTTTCGCCTCGCCAACGTGTGGGCGGTGATGCGTTACGACGACCACCGGTGGCTCCCGCCGCAGCGCCTCGCTTTCGCGGGCGGAGGGCTGACGGCCACGCTGAGATGCACGAAGACCAGCGGACCGGGGCGCAAGATGCCGGAGCTGCCGCTCACGGTATCCCGAGAGTGCCGTATGTTGGGCCCAGCGTAGATCCAAACGGGTTTCGATCTGCGGCATGAGATCGCGAATTTCGTGAGGGCCAGTTTTGCCGAGGTGCGACGACCCGGGGTTGGTGCAGTCCGCAAGCCCGCCGGGGACGCCGAGACATCGGCAGCGGGCCAGGAGGTCTTCTGGAGGATGCTGAAGCTGGCGGCGCGCAAGGGAGAGGAGATCGAACTCCTCCTCTCCGACGAGGTCGTGGGGTTCTGGACAGAGCACTCGGAGCGGGCGACGACCCCCTCGGCCAGCGGCATGGGGGGTCTCGAAGAGTCCCCGCGGCTTCCTGGGCAGTCGGTCGCCCGAGGGGGCGAACACAGTCGCGGGGACACACCGCGCGGCCGCGACCAGCTCCAGGCGCAATTCGCAGAGGTGCTGCGCCCAGGAAGTTCGACGCGGCGCTGGGCGAGTCGGCGACCGCCCCACGTAGACCGGTGCTGAAAAGAATTGCTCGGTGCGGAAAGCGGCGAGCGCGGCAGCCGAGACCCACGCGGCCCCCATGGCCCGCGCGGGCAGGTTGGCGACGGCGCCCCAGGACAACGAGGGCGAGCCAGGCGGGACAGCAACCCCAGACGCCACCGTCGATGATGGGGAAGCCGACGACGCGCATCGCCATCTGGGACAGCAACGCCACCGCGAAGGGCGCCGAAGACTGATCGCGGACGCGACAGCGCTGACGAGGGCAGCTGGACGAACACCCAGATCGGCGACGAGGAGCAAAACCCCCCCGTGAGAGCAAGGGCACCCGGGAGGTCGGCAGCTACCTCATCGCGTACACGAAGAAGCGCAAGGTGGCCAGCCCCCACACGGGCGGGGTTTGAGGGCTGGCTGGGCGAACGACGGGTCACCGCTGGACTCGACCTGATTCGTGCCAGACCCAAAGGACTGCGGCGCGATCTGCCAGACGGGACGGCGCCTCGTCCCTGCCGAGACAGCGATGGCGGCCGACGAGAGCGAAGACGACGACTCGGGCAGATCGTCGAGCTCCGCCGACTCCGACGGGTCGGAGGGGGCCGCCCAGGGGAAGACCGCAGCGGCGGCGGGTTCCGCATGGCCCGCCAGCCCCCGCCCAGGCACTTGCGGCGGAGGGCCCCCGCGCGACCCATTGGGGCGGGGGCCCTCCGCTAGGAAAAACGGCCCACCACTCGCGCGAGACGGGGTCGATGGCCGCGCCCGCGTGCTGACGAGGCGCCAGCCGCAGCGTCCGCGCCCTCGCAAGGGGTGACCCGGCACGGTCTAAACTCAGCACAAGTGGGCCGCGCCCACGCGAAAACCTTCCTCTCGCCCGCGGGGTGGCCCCGAGCCCCCGTCGAGTGGCGCAAGCCCCCCGCCCGTCGACGACGCCCGCTCCGCCCGCGGGCCCCCGCCCGCCGCGGGCGGGGGGGGTGCGATAGGGGGGGGGGGGGGGGGGGATCGCCTTGGGAAAGGCTCTGCGGGGGGCGGGCGGGGGCTACGGGGCGGCGCTGCACGTGGCCATGGTTCTGCCGCGCCAGAGGAACCGTTGCTCTGTCCGCAACCGTCCAGCCCATAAGGCTTGGATTGGGGCCCGCGCGATTTCTGGCGCGACCCCAGTTGGCCTTCGGCGTCGCCCGCGCGACCCGGCGCGAGGGCGCGACGACGGCGCGCCGCCGAAACTCAAGCAGAAGGAGCAGGATAATGCAGTCAAGCCGCCGAACTTGGACCTGTGCTTCCTCCTCGCGAAGGAGCGTTCCGCTGAATCTGCAGTTGCCGCTGCACTCCTCCGGAGTGAAGGGCGCGGGAAAGTCCGCCAACGCGATGAACTCGGGCGTCGACTTCACGGCGTTCTCCGAGGACGCTTTCGAAATGGGCGCGGAGACTGGACTAGAGCCTCGCGCGAAGGCGGCGGCTTTGGCGCGCGCGGCAGGCCGCGCGCACTCGGATCGAGCAGCAGCAGACGGCGGAGGGCGTAAAATTCCAGAAGATAGGATTCTGGAAGGTCGAGGATAGGCAGACGCCGGCAAAGTCCTGCCATGAGATCAGGCAGACGGAGGCGCCCACGTCGGTCTATTCACCCAGCGACCCGGGTTCGGCCCAACTCAGGGGCGGAAGAATTCAGGCAGGCTGCAACCGTCAAGGTCGAGCCCCCACACGGCCTAGAAGGGCCACGGAAGCGCGCGGTGCTTCTGGGCACAGGCGCGATCGCGCTCGGTCAGCTCCACGCGAGCAGGCAGGAGTTGCTGGCCGGGAACCGATAGCAGTACCAGGTGCACTTGAAGCACATGCTAGGGGAGCGCGTTTGGAACTTCGCGGCGAGGAGCGCGCAGGGCAACGAAGGCGCGCGCCCGTCTTGGGACCAGGCATTGCACAACGAGCATTGGGCACGCATGCGGGACTGGCAGCTGGCGCAGCAAGGGCGCCTGCAGCTCCGCGCAGCGCTCAAGATGGCGATGGGCGATTCAGCGGCCATGGAGCGGCACTTCGCGACCCCGCCGGCCCTCGCCAGCCTAGAGGCCCGCCGGCTGCCGCAGCCGCCGCGGCAGCGGAGGCTCAGCCCGCCGAAGCAGGCACGCAAGGACGGGGCACGCAAAGGAGGCGGCCGGCCATCCGACCAGGATGGAGGGCCCGCCTCGCAGACGCCAGACGGCAAGAGTATCTGATTCAGGTGCAACTCCACGATGGCCATGTGCGTCCCGAAGCAGCGCCGCTGCCATCACGCGCGCTCGCTCTGCTTCGCTCAGGGCCACCCTCGGCGCGAGTGCAGGGGGCCAGCTCGCCGCGGAGACACGCGGGGCGAGGCCCTCTAAGGGCGCCCCGCGGCGGCGCCGCCGATCCAGGACGCCTCGGAGGGCAGACGGCCGCTGCCGACGCCGCTGGGCAGAGGCGGCGAAAGGCGCTGACGCCACTAACACGACGACGGCGGCGCAGGGCCAGGGGGGCCGCCGCCCCGCTGCCGCCGTCCTCAGAATCGGGCCCAGCGGCCTCAGGCGGCCGCGCCCTCGCGGCGCGGCTCGGCCCGCGCTCTCCGCGGGGCGAAGCGGACGGCCTCAGCGGGGCAGGCGTCAGCGAGGCCCCGCGCGACCATGCGGGGCGGGGGCCGCGCCGGCGCGCAGTCGGGGGGCGCGCGCGGCGGCTCAGAGGAAGCCGCGCCACCTCTGCAAGGTCATCCCGATGCCCGCAAGCAAAGTCCAGGAGCGGGAGGCATCTCCAAGCACCCCAGCCAGGGGCGGCCCCGACGAGGAGAGGGCGCAGAAATGGGACAGAAGCCGAACGCCCCCCAGAACACAGGGCGCGGGGCGCATGGCACAGCTGCAGCGGAAGGTGCCCCACCCTTTTGCGGTGCACAAACGACGAGGCTTTCGCATGCTGGCTCGGCACACAGGCACACCTGGAAGCGGCGAGCCTGGCCGGGTGGGGCGACGCCGACCTCTCCAACGAAGCGCTGCAGGACGACTACCTTAAGATTAAGAGGCTGGCAGCAGGCGAACGGGACGCGCTCGCGGCCTCGCCCCCCTGCAGCCCCCAGCCACGAGCGGCGTGGATGGATCGCCGAGGACCGCGCCCAGCGCGGTCAGAGAAATGCCTTTTGGGCCCCTCCTGGCTGGAAGGGCGCGAGCCCAACCAACTCGCCGACTTCGCCTTCCGCGCCCAGCTGGCGCGCATAGCGAGCTCCGCGATCGGCGCCCCGCCAGCACGCGGCAGCTGCCAACCGTGGACGCGATTCTCACCAGAGCAGCTCCGGCGCGCCACGCTCGAAGCCGACGCGCCTCATGGGCCAGCTTCCGGGGCTGACCGCCGACCCGCAGCCCCACCATGGAATGTCGCAGTGCGCTGCGAACGGCGCGCGCCGGGGGCCGCTGCCGCCGCCGCCCGCAGGGCCCAAGTCGCAAGGGCACGGGGGGGGCGAGGCCACGCTCAAGACCACGGGCACCGCGCGGCCAGGCCGCCGAAGCCGCGCGAGCGGGCGGCGCAGGGCAAGGGCAGGTTGGCAGAGCGGTTCACCGCCCATTGCGGGGGGGGGACCTTGCATGGAGCCGATCATCAGCCACGCTCGGGGAGCAGGACGAGGACGAGGTCGAAGGGTCGCCGATGCGGGGCCCCCGCCTTCGAGCGCGGCCCGCTCAGAAATGGGGTCATCTACGTCGGGCGGGGCCACTGCAAGTGCCCGGCGAGCACGCGTGGCAACCCCTTCCCCGTCGAGCGCCACTGCCAGAAGGCCGCCATCTCGCCCTTCGCGGAGTGGGCCCCGACGATGGCGCTCTCGGAGCTCGACGGCGCCGCCCTCAGGCGGCTCTGCGACATGGACCCCGACCGCCACGCGGGCGCCATCATCGCGGCACGGCGGGGGGGGGGGGGCGTGCGACCACGAGGCCTTTGCGCTAATTCGGAGGCGCAGGGGCGCGTCGCCGCTGCGAGTGCATCGAGGGCCCGAGAAGACTTCGCGACGGCGCGGGCCTTACAGCCTTACCATTAGGTTCCAGATTTTCGGACGCCCCCGAACTGGAATGAGCTGAGGGCCGACCTCTTTAGAGGGATCGCGAAAGCCTTGGGCGGATGGGAAGCCGCAGAACGCGCCCCGTTCGAGCTGGCGGCGCAGAGGCACCAGGCCGGCACCACCCCGAGCAAGCCCGCCGACCTCGCGAGGAAGGAGGTCCAGGAGGCGGTCAGGAGGATCCTCGAAGGCTGGTCCGCCCCCGCTTGCTAGCGGCACTCCTGCGCAAATCCGAGGACCCAGGCGCGGAGTTGATGAAGGAGCTGGAGACGGAAGTCACAGCGGGCACACTGCATGACTCCCCAGCAGGGGGAGCTCTTCGAGGAACTCACGAAGCGCCGTCTCGACCAGGAGGCGGCCAACTGGGCCGCCCCAGGGGCAGCCAACTACGGCAGCTCGCGGGGCCGCAGCGATCGGCTCGGAGAACACCTCACGGCCGAGGTGAAAGCAGGCAGGGTGATCCAGATGTCCATGGAGCAGCTGCGCAGCCGCTTCCAGGACAACTACG